TACTTTTAGGTGGCGTACTTTTCGAACGATGTAGTCAAGAATAAAATATGCAAAAGTTGTTAGCCACGACAACTAGGAGTGTTTGTGCCACTATACTATACCCATTGCTATAACCATAGACGCCCTTCATCGATTAAATCTTTTTAATAAACTAAATACCGTTTCTTATGGTTTGGTGTTGAAGGAGTTCACCAACTTAGAGGTTGCCCCTCTTCATCAACATATTAAAACTCAAACTTGAATATTTGTGGGTGTATTCATATTCATAGGTATACAATGATGTATCACGCCTCTATATGACTAATTACACATAGTACCGTACCGGTACGGTACTTCGTCTAACTTAATACATCATAGATCTGGTTTTTCTATTTATATTATATTATTATTGGAATTATATTACGTTACCATAGCAACTAGTATACATCAATCAATTTACACACTTCAGTGCCTGTCAATCGGGGAATCCCCATAAGTTATCTGGTGGGTTCGATTAGAGATGTTGCCATGTACTATTTATGGTCGTCTCATATACCTTTAATGTCTCTTGGATGTTATATGTGGTTCAGTTGCCAAAGCCATGGTCATTCTTATTAAAAGTGTTCTAAAAACGTAATATCCTTAAAAAATAAAGTTAGATATTGAACCTCGGGTGTCGCTGCTCGAGAACCAGTCCTGGTTCCCGCGACTTCCCTTCCCCAGTAAAAATGTGTTTTGAGTTTTGTATTTTGCTAATTTCGTATGTTATTTTTTACTGAATGGGAAAAAAATAAACTTGACTAGGACTATGCTGTACGTCCCAATCCGAATAAATCCCACTCGAAGAAGCACATCCTCACGCCACGCTGTCTCGAGAGAACTGATTATATCTGTATGATTCATTCGAATGGAAGTGAGTGGAAACTTGTCGATAAAACATGTTTCGTCAACCGTGACTTCCTGATGACATAACAATTATTCAACATTTTACAAGTTTCTTTAACTATGATAAAAATATTTAAAGGCCCAAAGTCTGTAAAAATAACGCTGCACTATCATCACTCTAAACGAGCAGCGCGCGCTGTTGCTTTTGATTTCTTTCGTGTTTCATAAGCTACTGATGCATCAATTTTCAAATCTAGACCCTGAGGAGTCCCGGAATGGTTTAACTGTAGGTTGGCAACCCTAATGTGGGTCGATAATGAATTATGAAAATATGGTTAGGCCATGACCGATTAAAGTACTTGTGCTGTTATATTCTACCCATCGCCGAACAATATATCCCGTTACCATTCATTTGAATTAACAACCCTGCTTGTTCTTGTCCACGCCTTGGTCTGGGCGGAAAAGCACAACTTTTCATGATAAATGTCGGGTACTATGCTACAACCATTACAATGTTGGTAAGAAACGCGCTTTTTCCGCAGTTCATGCTTATGTCTG